TTCAAACCCTGTACCTTAGCATGTGACTTCACCTTACCTCTGTAAGGTAATCAAAGTGAGGCCATGGGGTGAGCCCTAATGCGGTATCACTGGTATTCTTAAGAAAGGAAAGTGCGGACACAGAGGGGCCCGGTGACGTGCAGAGATGCAGGGAGACGATGGTCTTCTCCAAACCAATGACAGGAGCCTGGACAGAGTGCTTCCCCGAACGCCTTTAGAAGGAGCCAAATCTGCTGACTCTCTGGTTTTACACTTTTGGCCTCCAGATCCACTCAATAGTAAATTTCTGTCAACTGTAAGCCCTCAGTCTGGGGTCCATTGTTATGGCAGCCCGAGCAAATTAATAGAGTGACAGTGTGTGAGACTGACTGGAGTGGGCAGAATCTGTGCTCTAGGAATGAGGACTGTGGCCAGGGGGCAGTCAAAGGAAGACAGACAGATGAAAAGTGTCATGGAGGGAGACGTGTCCTGCTTGCTGACGGAAATGTCAGCGTGCAAGGCACAGCGCGTAACTGGCTCCTCGCGCTCTGTTCGGGGCTCCTACTGGGCACGGAAGGCCTGGAGTCTGCTTAGTTCTGGACCCGGCTCTGAACGGTTCATTGATCCCAGACAAATCACGTTCTTTGGAACTTCAGGGTTAGTTCCATGAAAGGAGAGCACTTCATGAGACAATCCTGCAGATTCAAGATCCAAAAACTCTCTGGTTCTGAGATGCTAATTACATGAGGTTTTATGTTAGTTGCACTAAATATATATTTGTAAATGAGTGAGATTTATAGCCTACTTATTTCTAAAAAGGCAATTGAGGGAACTTATAAAATTCAGCATCTTTTTTTTTTTTTTTTTTGGTGGTTGTTGTTTTTAAGAGAACAGCAAAGTAGAAAATTGACCCAAAGGAAAAGAGAAACATATTACAGGTCACCTGAGATGAACTCATTATTGGATTTGAACTTTAGCTTTGAGTTTCCTGGCAGCTAAGGTAAAAAGAAAAACATGCGCTCATTGTCTGATAAAATCGGTGTAATATGATTAGTTCTTGAGAAAAACATGCAGACATGCTGAGTGCTCAGATAAAGTTGCATTCCAAGAATAGGCCCATTCAAGATACATTAAGAGCCATGCAGAAATCCATACTCTTTAATCCAGTAATTCCACTTACATGGAGAGAGTAGAAAGGAGGGGGAGGGTGGACTGTGTGAAAATGCTTGTCACGAAATTAGTTATGAAACTGCAGAACTGTAAAGAGCCAAAATGGGAGAGATAGTTCACTTAATTGTGGTACATTCATTCAAGCGAACCTAATTCAGGCCTTGTAAACAATAAGACTCTGCCAGTGAAGAGAAACAGGTTTATGATAGGATCAGTGAGAACAATCAGGAGATGAAAGTATTTGTACACCAGGATTGTAATATGTAAAAATATTAAGAATATCAAGGGTTCCTCGGGTGGAGTTATGATTATGGTAGGGTAGTGCTCTTAAGGATGAAGCCCCCACCCCTCCAGTTGGCGACAATGTTTATGATTATATCTAAGACGACAAGCCAGCCCACATACTTAAGCTTTACGTTTTAGCCATGCTTTATGGGATTGCATTTTTTAGTTATAATAAAAGAGAAAGCTTTCAGAAATGCAAAAACAGCAAACTGAAATTGTATTACTTAGAAAGAGCTGTTATTCGGCTTAATGCAATTGCTTTAGTTTATTAGAACTGATTTTAAAACAAAGCAAAACATATGTGGGAGCATGGTGGTCATGAAGAGGCTCTCCTTGTTTCCTCTGAGGTCACTACAGCCAGCTGGAGTGAGCACAAGTGGAAATACTGGTAAGGGGATAGCAGTGTTTCAGGGCCCAGCAGGCTTCTGTCCTTGGCATGCTTGTGGGCTACATACTTAGGTTAAAGAGCAGCAAGTGGACGTGCAGGCAAGAGTATTTCTCCTCTGGCATGATCTGCTCCCTTCTCCTTTCCAGATAATTCTCAGTGCCATTCTCATTATGATTCTTTGAAAAAGAGCTTCCATTCCTGGTATTAATTTGAATGAAAGTAGTCTGACCAAGAACGGGCTCTTAGTGTTGAAATGGAACATTGCAAAGTTTCAAATTCTCAAATCTCCATGACATGTAGAACATTCTGGATAGTATCCAGTCTAGGAATAACTTGCAAAAATGATTCACAGCGGACATGTATAGGTGCACATGTCAAAAACCGGCCCAGTGTTTGTCAAAATGCTTCAAAACACACACACACAAAATCAGTGTCATACCCTATATTAATAGAATGGGAGGGGGAGATACATCAGTCCAATTGGCGCATATAAAATAAAATAATTTGATTTTTCCAAGGAAAGTTCTCAAAATTGTTCCTGCTTTTCTTCTTTTCCACATATCTCATTGCACTCCTGCCTCTAGCACATTGGGCCACTCTCTTCTTAGTTGGCAGAGGAGGAACTCAAATTCTAATGGGCCAGTGTGCTCCTTGTGAGACATCCCATCACGTTAGAAAGGACAGAATGGTGAAACTGGCGGAAATGGGATTGAGGCACACTCTCTACCATGAACTGTAGATTGAGTTAGCCCGGACTTTCGCCTGCTCGGTCATGGAGACTTCTGCTGCTGTTCTCAGAGGAACGTCCTCAGCCTGCTGCTTGAACAGCTGTTGATGGATGTCTTCTGCCCATTGCACAGCTCCAAGAGGTGGCTACAGAGATGGCCAGAACCAGTCCCAGCTGTCTGGAGTTTTAGGCTGAGTTGGAGGCTGCTAAGGCAGTATCCTCTCATTTCAAGGAGGGACCAGGAGAGGCCTGAGGGATGACGCAGTGGACTTGCATGCCGCCCTGCCTCTGCGCCGCGTGTATCTAAGCCCTTCGTGCTCTCTCAGGCTCTGACCTGCTCTCTGATCACAAGGGCAGAGCTAAATGGAGATGTGCATGAGATCAGCAATATTCAGTGACTGGGAGTTTGACATAATGCACTTTCTCATAATTTATTAAAGTTGCTAATACATTTAAAAACTATGTGAAGAACATGGAAACCTCTCAGTAATATGGTTCAGTGCATTAACCCTCCATTGATTTTGCCTTTCAATCAGAGTAAGAGCCACAGTCCTTATGATGATCAGTAAGCTTCACCATGTGATCAGCTCACTCTCCTCACCTCCCCAGCATTAGTCACTACTCTTACCCTGCTCACTGTCTTCCAGCCACACTGTCCTAGTGATGATGATCCCCAGAACACTCTAGGCATCTCCTGCTCCAGGGCCAATGCACTTCCTCTCTGCTTTTCCCCGAATCTACCAGACTTTCTGCCTGCCTCCTTCATGTCTCAAATGGCAAAGTTACAGAGAAGCAGAGCCAGAGAGAGAGAGAGAGAGAGAGAGAGGGGTCTTCCATCCCCTGGTTCACTCCCCAAATGGCTGCATAGGCTAAAGCTGGCCTAAAGCAAGCCAGGAGCCAGGAGTTTCCACCAGGTCTCCCACATGGGTACAGGGGCCCAAGGACTTGGGCCATCTTCTACTGCTTTCCCAGGACATAGCAGAGAGCAGGATCGGAAATGGAGCAGCCGGGACTCTAAGCGGCACCCATATGGCATGTCGGCACTGCAGGCAGCAGCTTTACCCACTGCGCCACAGCGCCGGCCTTTCAAATGGCAACTTCTTAGTGCAGTTTTCTTCATTCATCCTCTAAAGGCACTGAGTTCTATATACATGCATTTATCCTGTCTCCTCTCAGATGCATTTTTCCCCTAGAACTTAGCACCATCACATTCATTATATAATTCATTTGCTGACCTTGTTGAGTATCTCTATTCCCCCATGAAGTTACAAGTTCCATGAAGGCAGGGACATTTGCTTGTTTTGTCCGCTGCCTTACATACGGTACTGAGAACAGTCTGTCACAGAGTTGAATACAGTAAAATGCAATGGATGAATTAATGATTTAAATGGTAATGAATTCTGTCAAAGGACATGATCATGGGAATCATCTTGCTTTGATGTTCTCTTCTGCTGAGACAATCTGCAGCTTGGACATGAAGGTCAACAACTGTAGGGTCTAAGGACTTCCAAGTGGAGGGGAGGAGACCAAATGACAGGGTTTGAAGAATCCCTTAGCTTTTAAAAGAGCTAAGTTAGAAGCCTAACTTTGCCAACTACAAGCTCTGTGATCACTGATTAGTTCTTTATTTTTTTAACTCTACCTCTCAAATAAATAGAGAGAGAGAGAGAGAGAGAGAGAGAGAAAGGTCTTCCATAAGCTGTTCACTCTCCAAATGGCTACAATGGCTGGAGCTGGGCTGATCTGAAGCCAGGAGCCAGGAGCTTCTTCTGGGTCTCCCATGTGGGTACAGGGGCCCAAGCTCTTGGGCCATCTTCCACTGCTTTCCTATGTCATGGTAGACAGCTGGATTGGAAGAGGAGCAGCCAAGATATTAACTGGTGCCCATATGGGATGCTGGTACTGCAGGTGGAGGCTTAGCCTACTATGCCACAGCGCCAGCTCCCACTAATTAGTTCTGTAACCTAAAGTAGTCAAGTTAGGTCAGTTAGTTCTCTGAGACTCAGTTCATGCAATATGTAAAATAGAGATAATTATATAAAACTCCAAGGCTGTTACAAGAATCAGGGTTGTGGCTGGCACTATAGTTCAGTAGGTTAAAGCCACGATCCGCAGTGCCATATGGGCACTGGTTCAAGTCCTGGCTGCTCCAATTCTGAACTACCTCCCTGCTAATGTGCCTGAGAATGCAGTAGAGGATGGCCTAAGTGCTTGGGCCCCTGCACCTCTATAGGAGACCTGGAAGAAGTTCCTGGCTCCTGGCTTCAGCCTGGCTCAGTCCTGATTGTTGCAGCCATTTGGGCAAGTGAACCAGCAGATGGAAGGTCTGTCTGTCTCTCACCTTCTCTCTCTCTGTATCTCTGTCTTTCAAATAATAAATCAATCTTAAAAAAAAAAAAAAGGCATCAGGGTCAAAGTACTTAAAACACTGAGCATATAGAATGCTTCATATACATAAATCCTCTGTATTATTTGGTGGGAATTCATATACATGTTTGCACTATCATTTTAGGAAACTATTTAAAAAGTCCTTGCAATAGTATTTTTTTTTGTCTTATGGGGTGGGTTGAGGAGAAGCCTTCTTAAATATATTTTTATTGAACGCTAGTATAGATTTATACCACTTAAAGATCCAAAAATGGAAAGAAATAGCCTTTAATGCAGTTGAAACCATCTTCAAAGCCAATGTGTTGACTCCCTAGGCCTCATCCTAATAATTTTACCCCAAAGTCACTTGTTAAACAAACATGGACTAAGTATTTGCCCTCTTCTAAGCACCGTGCTATACCTTGTTGGCTATTTTGACACGCATAAGCAAGCTTCTGCTTGTGTACAACTTAACATTAAAGGCCAAGATGGCACCTGACAGTGATACCAATACTGATCATGGCTGAGATAGGCATTCGTGGCTGAGCACCACCCCAGTGGTGCAGAACGTTGGAGGAGTAGAGGAGAATCTGATTGTCAGGGTTTTTTTCCTTCGAAATTGTACTTGAAGCCGACTGCCACCAGTCTTCTTTGGGTTTTCCTCTCTTGGAAGCCCCCTTCACTCTGGCTGGAGTCCTTGATTCTAATAAATATTTCTAAATCTCAAAAAAAAAAAAGAAAAGAAAGAAAATTACTTTTTCAAGGAAGGCTGAGGAGTAGGTGGAGAGTCATTGACAGTAGGGAGGGCAGTGAAGCCAGGCCATGGAAGGGACGTGGAATTTGGACAACTCAAAATGGAGACAAAGACAGGGCAATGGAAATACCTTGCAAAAACTAGCAGAGGTGCCAGGAAGGAATGAGGTGTTAAGTTGTCCCAACTTTGGCTGTACTTGGGTCAGGGTTGCTTGTGAAGGCAGCAGCAAAGCTGATACTGGAGAGGAAGCTCACTGTCTGACAATGTGGAAGGTTTGATTTAAGGTTCAGACCTCTGAGTTCAGAGACCCAGTAGGGGGTGAGGGCTCTCTGAGGCTTCTGAAGAAGACAGTGATACACCCAGTCTGCAAGTGAGGAAGTGTATTTGTGGCCACCAATTCCTTCTGAATTCCAAAGCCTCCCTAATGTGTGCCTCCAGACCATTCTTCTCTCCCGAACACCAGATTCCCATAGCCAACTGCCTGCTTGCTGCCTTTCCTTCAGTGTCTTATAGGCATCTCAGACTCAACCTGTGCAGAACACAGCTCCTGTGATTTCCAGTAAACCTGCTCCAATCATGATTTCTGCATCTCAGCTGATGACAAGTGCCCCATCCCAGGACACTTATCTAGGTCCCAAGCCCAGAGTCATCCTAGACAGGTCTCTTCTTCATCCAGTGCCTTAGAAAACCCTATTGGCTGTACCCTCCAAACATAGCCATTCTGGCCCACTGCTCACCACCTCCACTCACCAGCCTGGCCTTGGCCACCATCATCCCTCTCTTGGATGATGGTGAAGCCTCACCAGTCTCCCTTTGCCTATTCTGACCTTTACAGTGACCAAAGCCGTCCTTCTAAAATGTCAGTCAGGTCATGTCACTCCCCTGCTCAAAACACCAATGTCCTCCCAGGAAGAAAGCCAACTGCTGACAATGCCCCCCCGCAAGGCCTTACCTGATCGACCTGCTGGTACTTCTCAGTCATCCTTTCCCCCTTGTGGTGCTGGATCCTCCTGGCTAACTTCAGACGTGCCAGAGAGGTTTCTTCCCTGAGTCCTCACATGCACTTCTGCCAGATACAAGCAGATGAACGGCCCACCCACTGCAAGGTTACTGGAGCATAGGCCTTTGATGACAATGCCAATTTAAAATACGTTATTTCAAAAACTAAAAAATGAAGGGAGGAGGTAGTGAGAGAAAGAGAGGAAGGGAGGGAGAAAGGGGGAGAGGAAGGGAAGGAGGGAGGGAGGGGGAGAGGAAGGGAAGGAGGGAGGGAGGGGGAAAGGAAGGGAAGGAGGGAGGGAGTAGGGGGAGAGGAAGGGAAGGAGGGAGGGAGGAAGGGGAGAGGAAGGGAGGGAGGGAGGGAGGAAGGGGAGAGGAAGGGAAGGAGGGAGGGAGGGAGGAAGGGGAGAGGAAGGGAAGGAGGGAGGGAGGAAGGGGGAGCAGATGGGAGGGAGGGAGGGAGGAAGGGAAGGAGGGAGGGAGGAAGGGGAAGAGGAAGGGAAGGAGGGAGGGAGGAAGGGGAGAGGAAGGGAAGGAGGGAGGGAGGAAGGAGGAAGGAAAGGAGGGAGGGAGGAAGGGGAGAGGAAGTGAAGGCGGGAGGGAGGAAGGGGAGAAGAAGGGAAGGAGGGAGGGAGGAAGGGGAGAGGAAGGGAAGGGGGGGGAGGAAGGGAAGGAGGGAGGGAGGAAGGGGAGAGGAAGGAAAGGAGGGAGGGAGGAAGGGGAGAGGAAGGGAAGGAGGGAGGGAGGAAGGGGAGAGGAAGGGAAGGAGGGAGGGAGGAAGGGGGAGAGGAAGGGAAGGAGGGAGGGAGGAAGGGGGAGAGGAAGGGAAGGAGGGAGGGAGGAAGGGGGAGAGGATGGGAGGGAGGGAGGAAGGGGGAGAGGATGGGAGGGAGGGAGGAGGGGGGGAGGATGGGAGGGAGGGAGGAGGGGGGAGAAGAAGTGAAGGAGGGAGAGAGGAAGGGAATATTTTAATTTTAGAATTCTATCTATGAACTACATTGAGTCTTTTCTATTTGTATTAATATCACATTAATATAAAAAGTACCAAATGGTAAAATAAATAAAAATAGATGAATGAAATATAGATCCTATTTAAACAGTTCAAAACTGCATGTCCTCTCAAAGGATCCTACAAAATGCCAAACTCTGCATGCCAAGGGCGGGCAGGTGGTTCACCTTGGAGCCATCTAAAAAGGGGTACAGCTCTCTAGCCTTCAGCCTGCTGTTCTGGGGAAAATGGTCAACTGGGGCTTTAGGTCTCTGCAATATGTAAAACATTGCAAGATGCCTACAACATGTAGTTTTATACATGGGTAACCACTTATCTGCATGACTCTGAAAGCTTGCATTCTTCCCTAACAGGGTGGGCCCTGAGGCTGTTGGGGCGCCTCCTTCTGTCCTCATAGATGAGATGTGCTGAGAGTTGTTGATGGTGGATATTTGCTTCAATTATTAGTTTGATGTATTAAAATTCAACCAGCCATATTTATAAAATGCACTCAATCACTTTAATTGGGTTTGTACAATTCCATGATTTATGAAACAATGCGTGGGTTCTTCAGGCTAATGTTAGACTTAACTATGACTTATTACTATGGTGTCTTCCCTTCCTTCTATTCATGTGCATCTGCACTGCAGATCCATATACCAGAGTTTCTCTAAGGTGGGAACAATTTGTTTGCCATCTTTGTGTAGACTTGGGCCCAGCGCAGTAGCTGAGGGCTGTGGGAATCCCTAACTCATACTTGCAGTGGGTCTGGAGCCAGGCTGAGTTGGTGCGAATCTTGGATCTTCCCCTTTTAGCTGTGTGACCATGGGCAAGCATTTAACCTCTCTGTGCCATGGCTTCCACATTAGTAAAATAGAGATAAAAATTAAAGCTCTCCCAGAGGCCTCCTGTCAACCCTGAGATCATTCCTGTAGAGTACTTAGCACCACATTTGTTCATCGTGAGAATTCAATAAATTCAATTTGTTAAATTATATGAGTCTATGAAAGAAATGCAGTGATTAAACCGAGTGGCTCGGGTCACAGTCCTGGTTCAAATCCTGGTTCCAACTTTTGTTGCTTGTAGGCCCTAGAAAAATAGTCTCGCCAGCTTCAAAGCTCTCAGGTGCCAAATGCAGATATTAATGGTGCCTCCCTCTCTCACAGGCCTGAGATTCTGCATGTGAAACACTTAGCACAAGGCCTACTGTGCATATAATAAATATTCAAACAATACTGGTGTTCATTTGCATTAGTGAGTATTATCAACATACAGGTAATTCACTTATTAACTTATTTTAAAGGCAGAGAGAGGGAGAAAATAGAGAGAGAGAGAGGGAGAGAGAGAGGTCTTTTATCCATGGATTCACTCACCAAATGACAACAACTGCCAGCTTTAGGCCAGGCCAAAGCCAGAAGCCAGGAATACCATCTGGGTCTCCCACATGGGTGGCAGGGGCCCAAGTACCTGGGCCATCATCTGCTGCCTTCCCAGGTACAATAGCAGAAAGTTGGGTGGGCAGCTGGGTAGCCAGGATGCACACAGCACTCTGAAACGGAATGCTGGCATCACAGGCAACAGCTTAACCTGCAGTGCCACAGTGCTGGCCCCAGTAATTCTATTAAAAAAACTGGACTTTGCAAAAATCAATCAATTCACTTTACCAGTAAATTTGACCAGCAGTTTCTGCACTATTTGGAGCTTAAGCATCGAACCACTAACAACAAATGAAGAACACCTGAGATTTGCTGAAGGCGAATCCTTCCACATACAGGGAGGTTCTAAAAGGTTCAGGAAGTAATGCCATTTTTCACTGCTTGGCTGGATTCAATGGGAGACACCCTGGAGTCTGGAGTTAGCTCTCCCCTAGGCCAAAAGATACAGATTCCAGTGGTGAGGTGGAGCCCAGTTATGTTGTCTCAGAGTTTCCATCCTCCCTAGGTACATTTGGAGAGAGGTTTGGCAACAGAGTGTCTAAGAAAAATGAACAGGTATCAGCTGAGGCTGGTGGTCCTCAGAAAGTGTGTGGGTGGGCATCTGTGGGCAACAGGACCCAGCTCATGGCCAGGGCTCTCCATGGAGGGAGGCAGGTTCTCAGATCCTGAACTCAGGAGCAGAGAAGAGTCCCATGTTACCCTCAAACAGGAGACCTGGGACATAAGGTCAGGTAGAAGACTTCAAACAGAGCAGCTGCCTACTTATAAGCAGGGCACTCAGGTGGGGTCAGCCAATGTGAAGATCCTGGCTCAGTTCAGGATTCATGCTGGGAACTTGGACCTGGGAGTCAGTGCAGGGGATTCTAGCCAGGCCTCAGCTGTGGGATGGAGGGCATGGGTGGTGTTAAATGCCTGGCCTCATGAGAAAGAATGGGTTGGGTGATGGCAGACCCTGGGCTGAACAGAGTGCATGCCTCGTCCTTTACCCTCTTCTCCCAACAATTTTGCCAAATAGCCAAGTGCCCATCAAGGTGGCCTCTCTTTAGGAATGAGACTACAGAAATGCATCTCTCCCTTTGTAGAAGCAACATCAAAATACTGGCCAAATTTACCCATTTTCTTTGACTTCTCTCTTGCTTGACTGAATGATCCCCTCACCCCCGCTCCATGAAATTTTAACATCAAGGACAATTCTTATCAAGTCATTCTCTGTAATCAGAATATAAAAATTATCCCAACATTTCTCTTTGAAAATGGATCTTCAGAGACTCAGTAGGCCTTTATGCATTACTAATGAGTTCCTTAGTGAAACATTTTGTCTTTTACTAAAATAAATCTCTCCTATTAAATCTTCCATATGAAAATTCTGACAGCATTTAAGCTGACTAGCTTCCCTGCTAGAAAATCATTGCACTTGTTAAGGATTTGGGAGTTGGTATCATTTATTTTTGAGGAAATTGGAAGGATCTTGTTACCTGAGTTCATGAAAAAAATTAGACTACATATTCACAGAACCGAATCTTAGGGTCAGAAGATACTGTAATGTTTCCAATCTCAGGAGGAATAAAACGTTATCTGGCATCTCTCACACGTGGCTGTGTTAGTTTCTGGGGCTGTTACCACAAGTGTCATAAACTAGATGTCTTAAGACAACAGAAATTCTTTCTCTCACCTTCTGTAGGGCAGAGGTCCAAAATCAAGGGGTCAGCAAAGCCAGCTCCCTCCAAGGGGTCATGGAGAAGGTCTGTTTCAAGCAACGCTACGGGATCTGCTGGCCTCAGGCACACTTTGGTTTATGGGTGGCCGTCAGCCCTTGTGTTTCTGTCCATCCTCTTTCCTCAGGGCATGTGTCTCTGTGCCCGATGAGGACAGTCACCTTGGATTAGGGCCCAAACTGATCAACTCATCTTAACTTGATGGCACCTATAAAAGTCCTGCCTCCAAAAGAAGGGCATGTTCAGAGGGACTGAGGATTCGGACTTCAAAATATCTGTGAGGGGAAGGAGGTACCTTTCTCTGACGGGAGGAGAGAACTTCCATTTTGACTACGGCCCTCTCTAAATAATGTCAGAGTTTGTGGACTCAAAAGGCTTCCATAGCCTTGGCAGCTCATGACAAGAGCCTCGGGTGATCACTTACATCATAAATAAGAGTGTCAATTGTTAAACCAACAACAGGAGTCACTGTACTTGCTCCACATGTAGGACCTCTGTCCTTAATGAGTTAGTTGTACTATGAGAATTAACATTAAAACTAGTCTTCAAACATTAGTTTATGTGTCTGTGTGGGTGCAAACTGTGGAAATCTTTACTTAGTATACAGTTGATATTATGTATATAATTAAAAATGAATCTTAATGAAGAATGGGATGGGAGAGGGAGTAGGAGGTAGGATGGTTTGGGGGTGGGAGGGTGGATATCAGGGGATATTGGCTGTACCTATGAAATTTACAGTTATTAAATAAAAGCTTTCTAAAAAAAAATAAGAAGCCACTGGGCTCCGTATCAGAGTCCCTGGGTTTGTGTCCCAGCTCCAATCTCAACTCCAGTTTCCTGCTGATGTGCACCCTGGGAGTCAGCAGCTAAGATAGATCAAGAACCTTGGTCCTTGCCACCACGTCAGGGGCCTGGATTGTGTTCCAAGCTCCTGCCTTGGTCTGGCCCAGTCCTAGCTCTTGTGGCCATTTGAAGAGTAAACCAA